CAGAAATGACGTAACAAGGTCAGTCCTTGAGTAAGAAGCTGCCTTCTGTAACAGCAAGCACACACACACCACCATGCACAGACTACCTGCTCCTGCACAAGAGAAGCCTCTCCTGTGTAGGCACTCAAAACCCACCTGGACAWATCCCTACTAACCTGTTTTAAGTGCCCTTACCTTGGTGTGATAGGGTTGGAGAATAGGACTTCTAGAGTCCCCTTCCAAATCTAAATACTCTGTCATGTGGTGAAGACAGCTTTGATGAACTTAAACTAAATGGTCAGCCAAATAAACTGCTGACTGCAAAAATATCTAATTGAAAGAATGTATTTATAATAAATTAGACTGTTAGATGGTTAAGAAAATGGTTTGATGGTGGCATCCAGAGGGTAGTGGTCAGCAGCCCAGAGTCCAAATGGACATCAGGGACAAATAGTGTCCCTCAGGGTCCATACTGGGACCAGTGTTATTTAATTAATGATGCAGACAATGGGATCGAGAGCTCTCTCAGCAAGTTTGCCGATGACACCAAGCTGAGTGCTACTGCTGTCACACCTGAAGGATAGGAGGCCGGCCATCCAGAGGGACTTGGACAGGCTAGAGAATGGGCACCTCATGAGGGTTAATATGATCAMGTGCTGGTGCCGCACCTAGAGCAACCCCCAGTCTCAACACTTGACTGGGGATGGACAGATCAGAACAGCCCTGCTGAGAAGGATTTGGGGTGCTGCTGGGTGAGAGGCTGGACATGACCCAGCCATGAGCACTCCCAGCCCAGAGACCAAACGTGTCCTGGGCTGCATCCAAAGCAGGGTGGGCAGCAGGGCCAGGGAGGGGATTGTGCCCCTCTGCTCTGCTCYGTGAGACCCCACCTGCAGGGCTGCATCCAGCTCTGGGGTCCCTGCACGGGAAGGACATGGAACTACTGGAGTGAGTCCAGAGGAGGSCAAAAACATGATTAGAGGGGTGGAGCACCTATCCTGTGAGGAAATTGAGATTGTTCAGCCTGGAGAAGAGAAAGCTTAAGTGTCACCTAATTGCAGCCTTCCAGTTTCCAAAGGAAGCCTAAAAGAAAGATAAGAAAGATGGAGAGGAATATTTTGCAAGGGCATGTAGTAATAGAACAAGGGGCCATGGCTTCAAACCTGAAAGACAACAGGTTTAGATTAGATATTAGGAAGAAATTCTTTTCTGTGAGGGTGGTGAGGCATGGCTGCCCAGGGAAGCTGGGTGGATGGGAAGTGGATGCCCCATCCCTGGGAGTGTTCAAGGCCAGACAGATGGAGCTCTGAGCAATCTGGTCTATGAAAGGTGTCCCTGCCCATGGCAGCACATTTGGAACAAGATAATCCTTATGGTCTGTTGCAAGCCAAACCATTCTATGATTCTACAATCTGCCAAAGTGATTGTGGTTTGTGTTTGTTCCCTGTTTTTATCATCTACACTCTTTGCAGGAATATTTTATGACACATTATTCTGTGACTAGAGAGGCCACACTTAAGACTCAAAGCACAGTAACAGATGTAAGATTAGTATAAGCACACTTCACATGAGACGAGTTGTAATGTCTGGCAACATGATAGGGAAAGAGCACCTGTCTACAACTTAGGCAACAAATATGTTCATGARTATGAGGAACTGTATAAATTTAGACCAAGTGGATACACTGCAACACTGTCTGCTTAGTACAATGCAGAGTAACACAGAAACTCCACCAATGGAATCAATCTTTCACTTGCAAGAACTAACGTGTGAAGCTACAAGTATACCTATGCCTAGCATTACTGCAGCACTGACAACTGAAATCCTTGGAGTAGCAAAGTTGGAAAACAGTGTTTAAAGAAATCCATTTTACAAGAAGAGCAGAACTATATGTTTTCTTGAATTACAATAGACAAGGTTATCCCATTCTGCTGCATAAAAATACTAGGAAGATTCCCTGAAAATATGCTTGCCTGGACAGCACATTAAAAAAAAAAAGAAACAAACATTACACTTAAGGTCACTTGTCATTCMCAAGTTTATATATGCAAACAAGAAACAAAAATAATCATACAAGTACCAGATAACCAATCTCCTTCAAGTCAGCTATGATTTCTTAATAGGTGATTAGAGCATATACTAAAGCAAAAATAACTGAACCAGTAATTTTATTTATGAGATTTTACTAGCTCTTCTGATCCTACTGTCATAACATGCATTTGCTTCCTTAGTAGTAGATTTCACTTTCAGTTTTAATTCCTCTTAAAAGATTGGCAAGCTTCAAAAGCCTTCAAGGCTTCATTAACATATTCTGAATGAAATTACACTAAAGAGCAGCTAGCTTTACTGTATCTAACACTCTAGCACTATTCTAAATACACTCAAGTAGATAAACTTATTACATTTTTCACATTTATTTTCATCATATGTTACAGACACTATCCATTTCAAAATAGTCCTAGAGAAGGTTGTTATAAATACTTAAAGGTAACACAGCACTGTGCTTACACTACTACACAAGAGCAGCTGTAGCAATGCAATACTGGAATTGATACCTACTACCTACTACCACTGTTAGAGCTGTCTTGAAACATCAAGCCACAAATTACTTTAAAAGCATATAGAAGCTGCACTTACTTGAACATGAATAATTATGGAGAGTGTGGTATGATTACTGCATTACTTGGGAAAAAAATTGTCTGACAAGTAATTTACCAATTACTATCACATTAACTACAAGTCCCAGCAGAAGGACAGCTCATTATGGCTTATAAAGCATGTACAGAGACCTCTCAAGAAAGCACATAATTCTTATAAGAATGTCTTATGTACTGTTTTTATCTTAATGTG